TGTGTCTGTGTGTGTGTGTGTGTGTTGGATTGTTAGTTGTATTAAAAAAAAATTTCCAACTGCTACATGTCATATTTATATCTTATAGGTTTTACACAAAAAATTGATCAATAATTTTGTACAATTTTATTATACAAAAACTAATCGGAAAATAATTTCTGTAGTTTATAAAATGGTACTGAAAATTAAAAAAAATGGAACGATTGTAAAGTTATTCTGATACCCCGTCCTCATTCGTGATCCTACGTATAATGTATGTATATACATATATGTATATACAATATATACAATATAAGTAGGGTCGCAAATGAGAACGGATTATCAGAATAAATTTACAAAATTTCATTTTTTTAACTTTCAATACTATTTTAAACTAAAAAAATTATTTTTAGATTTGTTTTTAAAGAATAAACTTTTTTTATATAAATGTACTACTTTCTCTATCCAAAAATTGCCACCCTTTAATATGCAAAATAAATATCTCTTTTTAAAGATCCATTAAAAAAATTATTTTTTAAATCAAAGTAGCACATTTCAAGAGTATAACCCGAAAGTTTTATAAAAAAAAATTAGGAAATGAAAAAGCTATGATTTTTTTCGCAAAATATAATCCTTTTCAATACTTTAAAAAAAAATTTTTTTTTAACATGGGACTTTAATTCTAAATTCTTTATAATTAGAATATATTCTATAATACATCCTATGTTTAACTTCATTCTAGAATTTTTGCGATCCAATTAAATTGTTAGTTTTTAAATGGCAGTTGAAAATTAATCTGAGTCAAACTAATTCAGTGTGACAATTTTGATTGAAAAAAAGGTGTGACAAGATTAGTAGTATATATAATTAGAAAATAAATATTTGTTATATCTATGTATATAAAAATGATGTTTATAACAATAATTTTAAACAAGGATATATGTATATAACAAATAATAAGGAGGAAAGAGTCGAATTCAGCCAAAGCTACATGTTGATTTCCAAATAATATTATTAATTTTTAAATCTTTAAATTTCAGCTATCACACATAAAGTGCGTGCCGATTACTATCTTTAAGAACGCAATCGTAAAATTAAAATATTATCTCAAATTAAATTGATCGTCAGTTCGATGATGATGTTACACGCATTTTAAATACTGTGAAGAAACTTATTGCAAAAAATATTACCTCAGACAGGATTCGAACCTGAAATCTCCCGATCCTATCCAGGGCGGGTGCCTTACCTATTCAACCACTGAAGCTGTGGTAATATTGATCGCAATAACCAATGTTTATGGGTGCTTTCCATTTAGTGACACAAGTCTACACAAATGTTATTCTATCTTCTTAGCATTTAGTAAGTAACAAAGGCAAAACGATACAGGTGTCGGTTTGTGTCACTAAATGGAAAGCATCTTATAAGGAAGCATTGAAGGCATTGAAAAGCGAGCGTATAAATAACAATTTCAAACAAGGCTGATATGTATATAACAAATAATGAGGAAAAAGCCAAATTCGGCCGAGGCTAGATGTTGATTGCCAAATAATATTCTTAATTTTTAAATCTTTAAATTTCAGTTGTTATATATACCTTGATAGTAATCGGCGCGTAGTTTAAGTGTATGTAATAGCTGGAATTTAAAGATTTGAAAATTAAAAATTATTTGGTGATCAACATCTAGCCTCGATCAAATTTGGCTCTTTCCTCCTTATTTATATTTTATCATAGACTTATGATAAAATTGAGCAATAACATTAAATCTTGAATATATTTGCTTCTAATTATTTTTATTTTATATATTTTAAAAAATTACTTTATTATATCAAAATTATGAAAATTAATCTTTTCAGATGGGTGACATTAAATATTATGGAAAAAGGAGAAGTATTATAAGGAGGATTGGATCTTTTTTGCCATTAAAACCTCCGCCGAAAATTTATGTTAGTGTGACACCATTACATTTGATGACAAATTCAATGATTAATGATGAAACTAGCAATTATGTTGATACGAATGGATATCCTATGAGGTGAGTGTGTTATTCTATCAAGTCATAATAAAACAAATACATATTTATTTCTGCAATATTATTTAAAAAATTGAGTTTAATAACAGCTTTTCTGGCAGTAGGCCGGATCTGTTGGAGCCAATTAGTTTTGGATCTGAAGTACGATTGCTCGCGTTAGAACAAGAATTACAAGAGCTTAGGGAACAAATTTCAACAATTGTGAAAAACAATAAACTATCCAAATGTATGTAAGACATATTTTATTATACTAAAAAAAAATATATATATATAAAGATTTAAAGATTTATGTTTGTTTTGTAGATGCATCTGTCGCGTCTCTACCTAATGGAGCAGACGTTCTAAAGTCTTTGTCAGTGCCACCGCCACCTCCACCTCCACCGCCACTTCCATTTTTACCACCCACAACGCCACATATCGCGAGAAGAGCTAGTTTGCAAGATCACAAAATTGAGGATCGCAAAAAGATTCCATTAAGTGTGCAAAAATCAACGGGTGATATGCTGAGGGATATCGATAATATAAAATTAAGACCAGTTGCAAGGTAAGTGAGATTAATGTTTGCATGTTTGTACAATTTAAAACTTTTGATCAACAATAGTGAAGTAACGCCAATGCGAACCAACACGGATGTTGGTGTGTAATAATTTTTACAATAACCAGCCACACGTAAACTGCACGCCGCATTTTCGGTCTTGAAACACATGTTCTTTACTTGAGGCTGGAATCCACTTGTAACAAATTAAGTTGACTAGCAATTTAATCTCTTTGATGCAAACGTGCATCTATCCGTAACTGTGTTTCAAGATCGATAAAAATGCGGCGCGTAATTTGTGTGTGGCTGGTACTGTAAAAATTATTACACACCAATATCCGTATTGGTTCGTATTGGTGTTACTTCACTATTGTTGATTTATCCTTGACGAGCCTTAATTCTTTTAAACGTATTAAAACTTTTGGTTATCATAGAATAATTTAAATAAAAATTGAAGTTTGAGTAGATTTTTGTATATCATAACTTGCATTAGAGAATAGATTTACAATATAAATGAAAGGTCCTTTTTAATTCATGAGTTATTAAATAACTGTAAATTTTGATTAATCGACCTAAAGTTCATTTTCACTAAAAATCTAAGGTATAGATTGAATATAAGATTGAAAAGAATATAGATTGAAAACAGAGTGTATTTTTGACATTTCATCGATATATTTTTAAATCTATATTTGTTGAATGGATTTCATAACGTAGTGTTACGAAAGCACGATTTCTCACTTGTGAAACCATAATCCAACATCTAATAGGGATTGTACAAAAAAGAACCAGAAGCTTTTAGAAAATAAAATAATATTGTACACCTAAATATTGTAATATTTATCTTTTATAGGTCTCCAGGCGGACATCCTATACGAGTGAAACGTGAGAATAGTCCATGCAATGATTTGCAGGAAATTTTGCGAAGACGCTACATTGCAATGCAATCTCCCGATAGTAGGAATTCATCAGCTAACTTAGCTATGGATGATTCATTTTGAACGAATTAAAAACAAATTGTCCATAGTCAAGTATATGAAAATACTTTCCGAGTATTTTTATTATATTATATTTATACGAAATTTAGGACTTTTACAATAAGCAAGCATGATCTGTCATATGTTTGACTTATCACAGATGTTATATTTGAATTTTTTGCACTTTGCATAAGTTGAAGTCTATAACAAGAGATTTAAACCAAAGATAACTTTGCTGCATTATTGTGACATTATTCAGGTAAAAAATTTCTTTTCTAATGAAAAAATTACGATCTAAATTTTTTCAGTAAGTGTGAAAAAAGCCATTTTAGTTTGCATTTATAATTAAAGTGATTATTCTAATATTGTAGATAAGAATTGTTGATATTAAAGTCTCAAGTCAATGATTTTTCTTAAAAGATCTACCTAGAAAAACTTTCGTCCGAAATAAATATTTTTTGATGATAGTTTGTGACAAAATGGAATATATAGTTTCTGTTATTGTTTATAGATTACCGATATAAATGAGAAATATTTGAACTATTAAGGCTCCTAACTAGTTACCGCGGCTATATTGGAATCGTGACGTCATAAGCGAGAAATGATACGTAAAAGTTGCATGCCATTTTTAAACAAAGAAAATTTGAATGAGATAAAAAAATAACATCGCTTTAAAAAATTTATAAAAATGGATGGAAACTATCGTTTTTCCCTCTGACAATTAGTAAATAGTTGTAAAAGACATGTGAAATGAAGCCTATGTAGGCTTATATTTAGGCAAGAAAACACGATTTGACAGCTGTTGAAAGGAGTGAAAAATACGAGGGGTGATTAAAGAGTACGATGAATGTTGAAATAAAAAGAAACTTATTACATTAAAAGACAAATGACAATGATTAGTTGACCTTTTAAAATACTTCCCCTCATTTCTAATACACTTATCCTAATCGTTCTTGCTATTTGCTAAAGCAGTACTGGAAGTCCTCTTTTATAAATGCCTTTAGTTGCGCTATCGTGGTTGCCTCGATGTCTTGATTTGATTTAAAACGTTAATCCTTTATAGTCATTTTAATTTTAGGGAAAAGTTGCACGGTGCTAAATCCGGTAAATACGATGGATCAGGACACACCATAATGTTTTTATTTAATAGAAATTGCCATATCAGAAGCGATGTGTGATGGAGCGTTGTCATGATGGAGGATGAAATCGTTCGTCCATTTCTCAGGTCTTTCTACGCACATTTTTCGTTTCTTAAACGATCTAATAAGCCTTTATAATATTCAGAGTTCACTATAAACGTTTTTAATCAATTCGACACATCAATGCAGTGCACCACGACAGCGCAATTAAAGATACTTATAAAAGAGGACTTCCAGTACTGCTTTAGCAAGTGACAAGAACGATCAGATAAGTATATTAGAAGCGAGAGGGAGTATTTTGAAGGAGACAAATTATAATTTGTCTTTTAATGTAATAGATTTCTTTTTATTTCAACATTCATCGTATTTTTTATCATACCTCATATGCTTTTATATATAAAATTCAGAGATAATTACTTTCCATCCATTACGAGTAATAAATGTTTTACGAATTTGATAAGTACGAGACAAACACATTTTCACAATTAAGCACATAATTACGAAATGGCATGCAAGACAAAGTTTCAGTGTCAACACTTTTCACAGTAAGGTCTGTTCTATATGTTGTATTCTATACATTGGTATTTTAAACAGTAAGAATTGATCACAGTCGAGTATTCTTTTCTCATTCGACTGTGATTGATCAATTCTTACTGCTTGCGATACGATATATTGTAGAATTCTTACGGCTTACGATTTATTATACCGACATATGAACGGGTATTGTAGAACGGATCTTAATACAATGAACAAGGTTTTAATTGCTACTAAGATAGTGTCGCCACCGTTAACGCGGAGTTCTTGGCTGAATAGTCAGGAGCTTTAATTGAGCGTAAATAAAAAATAGAAATTTTTATTCAATTAACAAATATTAATATTGTAATCATTTATAATTTTATTTAATTAACAGTTTTAATACATGTTACGAGTAATAAATATTACGAGTTTCAGTAGTATGAATGTATTGTATGTTTGGCGTATAAATGAAATTTTATTTTAGACAATATTTCATTAGTTTCTTTCTTGACCTTTAAATATTAATATGAGTACTACAATTTATGTATCACTTACATGTAAAGCAGATCCACATTTGTATATGTAAGATTATTTTATTTATTTTAACATTTCTACGTTCATGTCATTAATATTTTATTTATTTTACTTGATACGTGCTTCGCACGCACTATTTAGCTTTTTCTTTATTTTTTACTATAACGTTTACAATGAATGAGTTTATAGCACACAAAAAAGATCAGTGAGCGCTCAGTTATTCTTCAATATGATTGGTTTTTGCTTTTAAATCTTCGCTGGATTTAAGTGCAGAAACCAATCATAATAAAGAATCATTAGGCGATTACTCATCTGCAGCCCCCTGACACTCGTAGTTCCTAGTGGTTATTTAATGTCCGCGTGGCGCTGGCAACATTAGGTCCGGTCATATATACAGGGTGTCTCATAATAGCCCAGATAGCACAAAGAATTTGAAAAGAATTCTTTTTTGGTCCCCAATTTACAAAATGAGTTTTTTTATCGTCCCATTTCTGTTCTAAAAGTATTCTTTAGGCTCCCAAGAGACTTCACTTTTATGTAGATCGGAAGAGCACACGTCTGAACTC